ACACATCGTATCCACCATCTTCAGCTCGTGATTCCAATGTCTAATTTTATCCTCGAATCCTGGACGAAGAAAAAACATTCGTAAAGTATTAACGACGGACTGGTACAAGTATGAACGCTTGGCCACCAAAGCACCCGATGCTGATGTTTTCGTCAATTGGCAGTTGCAAGACGAGCGTGCACCAAGCTTTACGAAATCGCAATGAGACGGGACAGATGCACTTTCTTCGTACACCTTGTGACAATCCTGACACACAACAAATTTCTTTATGCCTTTGGTCATGGCTGAGAAACCTGTCATGCGCTGAAGACCAGGAAGGCTCAAGGGCAGTTGGAAATCCTGCTCGTAAATTGTCAAAAGCTTGTTGATGAACTCGATCAAGACAACGGCGCCCTTGTCAACCACATAGCGGGAAGCGAACATCACCACAAAAGTAGCAATGAACCTGTGCACTGGGTTCTGGGGCATATCGGGGGTGGCAAAAGGGTCTATTATAAAAAAAAATTAACGCTTTTTTTTTTAAAAAATTTTTAACACTAACTGACCTTCACTATTCAATTCATTGTCGTCGAGCTCAATAACATCGTCTTCGCTTTCGTCTTCACTGATTTCATTGCTGTTGCTTCCACTGTCATCATTGTCGCCATTGCTGATCGCGTCATTAGTAACGGAAACGTCTTCAGTGTCAGACATTGAAGCTCCTTCCCAAACAGGTGAGTTTGTCTGAGTGTACGATTCTTCCAGGGCTCCGGGTTGATGGGTTAAGATAGCTACATTTAGAATATAACACTTGGTTAATATCTAACGGTATCTGAATTAAATAAACCTTACGTTCATCATCGACCTCCATCATATTTCTTTGGGTAGACATGTCTATTACAACACGTTATTTCATGGATTACAATACAATTAAATAAATTCAAATATTGTACCCCTTTCACATCTTATGGCATTTAGTCTTGCCCTTTTGTTATGACGTTGAGCAGTTCTTCTGGCAACAAAACTATAGCCGAGATCGTTCTGACTACATCCAGCACAATGGCACTTTTCGTTGTAGAGTTCAGGAATTGTGGACATAATGTTTATTTATTTTTACTTTGAAGTGTTAAGAGAAAAAGGAAACAAGTACAACGTTTACTAAATTTACTATGTCTTTATAATGAAATGTTATGTCTTTATAATAATAATAATAAATAATATTTTCGCCTGTTGTATCCAAGCCAATAGAAAACCGGAAAACAGTGTTTTCATCTTGAACACACAAAAAAAGCTGAGATGAAAAAATACCCCAGATTTTCTATTGTTATAATTTAACTTTGTACATGGTAATTCCCGTATGTTTTTCTAGTGATATGTATAAGATTGACTAATATTCACTTATATATATATCAGATCAGCTGTTATCAGCTTACATAATCTTGCATAATTTTGCATAATCTTGTATAATCTTGCATAATTTTACATAATTTTGCATAATTTTGCATAATCTTGCATAATCTTGCATAGTTGTATAGAAACACATATAAAAAATATAACAAAAGAAAGTTTGTATAACATATGTCATTATGCATATTTGCATAACATAAATAATACAAATGTATTACTGAAAAAAATTAGTAAATTATGGCTATACTTGTTATATAACATGCATAATCATGCATAATCTTGCATAAATGATCTACGTAAACAATACAGCTGAATTCGTGAGAAAAAATGCTAAAGAATAGCTTTTTTCCGGAAAAATTTCCTTTTTTAGTTAGTCTGAATATAATTAGCGTGAGAAATCTTGGCATTTTTAGTGTGGGAAGATAGGTTATATAAATAGTAACTATGTAAAAGCTTGGCATGGAAAAACATTTAACCTTAAACTATCAAAAAGCCGTTCCGACAATAATTAAATATATCTCTTCTAATGAAAGTTCAAATTCTTACTAAGTAATAATTTTTTAATTTTTTTTGCTATATAAAAAAAATTTAGTAGTATAATATAAAAGTATCAAAATATGTAAAGAGCAAATACAGAATTAATAAAAATTAATTTTCATATTTTTTTACTAATTTTCTTATAAAAATCAAAATATTATTATGTAGATCAATAAAAAAATATATAAATAAGTTAACTTATTAATATTTATTATAATTTTGATGTATTTATATATTATATATATATATATAAAGATTATAAAAGAGTTGTGAATATATATAAAATGAAAGATTAAATATGATTAGAGTATGTAACTTATATTTGATGAGATGATTGGATATGACTTGGATATTGACAAGTGTGAATATATATAATGTGATAGATCCAATAGTATTGATTAATATCAGAGATAGATAAGATGTTATAGGCTAATATTAGTAATAAATCAAATGTTATTGGCTAATATTGATTATATATTACATTTTATTAACTTATATAAGTCGTAAATTGGATGTGATAAATATATATATATAATACAGATTGACTGTTATTGATTTACATATATATCAGATCAGATAGCATTTATTTATATATATACTAGATTGGTAGTGTTCAGCTTATATATATATGAGATTAACTGTTATCCACTTATATATATATATCAGATTGGCTGTGATCTACTTATATATATATCAGACTGGATATCATATGTTTATATATAGTGCAAATCACCTGTCATCAACTTATATATATATGCAACTGACAGACAACAGCTTATATATATACCCAATTGGCAGACAACAGCTTATATATATACCAGATCGATTATCATCAGCTTATATATATATCAGATTGACTGTGATCCACTTATATATATATCAGATTGGATATTATATGTTTATATATAGTGTACATCCTCTGTCATCAGCTTATATATATACCCAATTAGCAGTCAACAGCTTATATATATACCCGATTGACTATCATCAGCTTATATATATATCAGATTGACTGTGATCTACTTATATATGTATGAGATAGACTGTTAATAGCTTATATATGTATAAGATTGACTGTTATAACTTATATATATATATCAGATTAGCAGTCAACAGCTTATATATATGCCAGATTGGCAGTCAACAGCTTATATATATACTAGATTAGCTAATATCAGCTTATATATATACTAGATTAGCTAATATCAGCTTATATATGTATGAGATAGACTGTTAATAGTTTATATATATATAGCTGATTGGCGGTCAACAATTTATATATATACCAGATCAGCTATCATCAGCTTATATATATATCAGATTGAGTATCATATGTTTATATATAGTGTGAATCACCTGTTATCAGCTTATATATATACCTAATTGGCAGTTAACAGCTTATATATATATCAGATCGACTATCATCAGCTTATATAAATATATCAGATTGATAATCATCTGCTTATATATATATGAGATCGGCGATCATCTGCTTATATATATATGAGATCAGCAATCATCTGCTTATATATGTATGAGATCGGCAATCATCTACTTATATATATACCAGATCGGCAATTATCTGCTTATATATATATATGAGATTGGTAACTATTGCCTTATATATATATATGAAATCAGCAATTATTGGCTTATATATATACCAGATTGGCAATTATCTACTTATATATATATGAGATCAGTGATCATTGACTTATATATATACCAGATCGGCGACCATTGACTTATATATATACCAGATTGGCGATTATCTACTTATATATATATGAGATCAGTGATCATCTGCTTATATATATACCAGATTGGCAACTATTGACTTATATATACACTAGATTGATGATCATTAATTATATATATATGAGATCGATGATCATCTGCTTATATATATATGAAATTAGCAATTATAGGCTTATATATATACCAGATTAGCGATTATCTACTTATATATATATGAGATCAGTGATCATTGACTTATATATATATCAGATCAGTGACTATTGACTTATATATATATCAGATCGGCAATTATTGGTTTATATATGTATAAGATTGACTAATATTCACTTATATATATATCAGATCAGCTGTTATCAGCTTACATAATCTTGCATAATTTTGCATAATCTTGTATAATCTTGCATAATTTTACATAATTTTGCATAATTTTGCATAATCTTGCATAATCTTGCATAGTTGTATAGAAACACATATAAAAAATATAACAAAAGAAAGTTTGTATAACATATGTCATTATGCATATTTGCATAACATAAATAATACAAATGTATTACTGAAAAAAATTAGTAAATTATGGCTATACTTGTTATATAACATGCATAATCATGCATAATCTTGCATAAATGATCTACGTAAACAATACAGCTGAATTCGTGAGAAAAAATGCTAAAGAATAGCTTTTTTCCGGAAAAATTTCCTTTTTTAGTTAGTCTGAATATAATTAGCGTGAGAAATCTTGGCATTTTTAGTGTGGGAAGATAGGTTATATAAATAGTAACTATGTAAAAGCTTGGCATGGAAAAACATTTAACCTTAAACTATCAAAAAGCCGTTCCGACAATAATTAAATATATCTCTTCTAATGAAAGTTCAAATTCTTACTAAGTAATAATTTTTTAATTTTTTTTGCTATATAAAAAAAATTTAGTAGTATAATATAAAAGTATCAAAATATGTAAAGAGCAAATACAGAATTAATAAAAATTAATTTTCATATTTTTTTACTAATTTTCTTATAAAAATCAAAATATTATTATGTAGATCAATAAAAAAATATATAAATAAGTTAACTTATTAATATTTATTATAATTTTGATGTATTTATATATTATATATATATATATAAAGATTATAAAAGAGTTGTGAATATATATAAAATGAAAGATTAAATATGATTAGAGTATGTAACTTATATTTGATGAGATGATTGGATATGACTTGGATATTGACAAGTGTGAATATATATAATGTGATAGATCCAATAGTATTGATTAATATCAGAGATAGATAAGATGTTATAGGCTAATATTAGTAATAAATCAAATGTTATTGGCTAATATTGATTATATATTACATTTTATTAACTTATATAAGTCGTAAATTGGATGTGATAAATATATATATATAATACAGATTGACTGTTATTGATTTACATATATATCAGATCAGATAGCATTTATTTATATATATACTAGATTGGTAGTGTTCAGCTTATATACATACACTGCAAAAGGAGGGCCAATTCAGTATACTAAATCTTGACCAAATACTGTCTGAATGAATAAAATTCAGCATGAATTCGATCGGAATTTATGATGACAATTTTTTAAAATTCGTGAGCTAAATGAATACAATTAGTATACTGAATTTTAGGAACGCAAAAAGAAAAAGTGTGATATACTTTTATGTGATATATTTTGGTTGTGAAAATATAGACGCACTTTTATCAGACCGCAGATTTTTCATTTTATATTGGTTTTGGGGTTTTTTTTTAAATACAGCACATAACATTTAACATCTTTTTATTACTATATATGGGTTGTTAAAGAAGAGATTTGGTCAAGATTTGGTCAAGATTTAGTCAAGATTTAGAGGTTTATGGGTCATTTTAAAGGTTTTTATTGGTTTGAAAAAATTTTCTTATTGTTTCTAGCTATTTCTATTCGTCTACATCACTAATCGTCTTCTGTTGCAATTGGGTAGAAACATCACACTCAATGCCGTCATTTATTTTCGTGGATACTATGTTATTCCTTTCGAACATCCATTGGTCCACCCCTGGTGCAATCGACCCCTACTGTATTCCATTGCTTGCTGCGGCACACCTTCTTGGCCTGTTTGTTTACTTTTATAAAAAATAATTATAGGGTGGATTAGAAAGAATGTTCTAGATATATTCATTTGAGAGCGACAGATTATTTAAAAAATATGAATGTACTTACAATAAAGTTAAACATGAGAACAGATGGATGTCTTTAACATAAAGATAGATGTATCAACATTTTAGTTAAATGTCTCAATTATAGTAATATTGTCTATAAAAATAATAACTTTTGTTAATACGATGCAAAGTAAATAAGACTATGGTTTGCTTACCAGACAGTTCAGAAAACAGAAGAGTTGACAAACACAAAATACAATGATATTGTCTATAAAATATAATCTTTTATTAGAATGAAATAAAGAGTATCAGACTATTTTTTGCTTACCAATTATTTAATACAATAGAAGAGGCAGCATGCGGGAAATGGAGATATTATCTATAAAATAATTTCTTTTCATTAGAATTACATACAAAGAAGTAGAATGATTATTTACTTACTTGTCTGTCTGTAGAGAATAAGAGTCGGTGTATAATCAAAAAAAGAGGACCAAGATAAAGACCAGTGACTATAAAGTGTATGGTATACATAAGAAAAATAATAAATACAAGTTGTATCTTGAAGGTGTACGTTAATATTTATATAACATACTATTTTGTAAACCCTCCCAAGGTATATGTCTTTGTTAATGGGCCAGAAAAATCTAAGCAGAATAATTAATACATAAATCGTGAATAAATATTCAAGTATATTCTTATTACCTTTTTATCATTACTTTTGAGGCAGTTAAGAAGGACTTGGTGGTTTAAAGCATAGTGTACCATGCTAGAATAAAAACAACAAGATTATTAGGTCTTGAAACTTTGATGTGAGTTGATGCTTACCATGTTAGACATTAAGAAAGAAGTAAAGAAGAAGAAAGAAAAAATTAAAAAAAAACGGGGAAATTCAAAATTATAATTTTATGACCATTGACCTGAGAAACTGATAGAATCAATGGAGCAAATTGAAAGTCATTCAACCCATCCCGATTGAGACAAGACATTACGTACTAAACCATAATCTCTCACATCTTTGTAATGGATGTAAGCTATTACAAATGCCTTTCCAAGTCGGCTTATCAAGAAAAGTATAATATAGAGATCAAAATGCTATAAAGAGCATCATCAGAAAAATAATCTTTTGGTGCCTTACTTTCCACCTTTACGTATGTTTTGATTTATTTTATTATTTTAAAGAAACCCAACTCTAATTATTAAAGTATTCACATTGTTTCCATTTCTTTCATTAGCCTTAAATATCTGAATTCATGTCTTCTAATACGCAGCAATCCAAAAAAACGAAAAAGACGACTACAAAAAAGTCTGTTCAACAAACTGCTGGGACAGCAGCAAGCACAAGACAATGGGAAATTCTTCCCAGCTTGACAGTTAGCACAGAGCTAGATGGTACTGTCCTGTCCACTTTGTTCACCATGAGCACCCGACTGAATGAATCTCATTCACTTCTGGAGAAGGTCTACCACAACATGGGAGCAACCAATGGCCAGAATAACAATTCGAACCATAGTCCCATCGGTCAGGCTCTTACTACAGAAGAATATATAAAGTACTGCCTTCCAACGGTTTTGGTAGGATATATACTAGTAATAGAATATTGCAAAGTTACTTACATTATATTTTGCAGAGATTGATCTGTTCTCAAACACGAGCTGTTCTGGCAACAATGCCATTGACGGTCAATGAGGGCGCCTTCTCGACATCCAACTGTCCCATTGCTGATGTAGTGCAGAGCTACACACATCAGCAAGCTGAAGTAAAGTCTGTTTCGTCTGCAGTTGTGGAAGAGAAAACCCGAAGACATACTTCGTATATGCTTCAAAGGGCAAAAGCTTTGCCAGAAAAGATAGCTCGACAAAATCGGATTTCTCGACGCCGGTCCAGAAAGAGAAACGTAAGTATAGTCAACAGTTTTTGTGTAAACTATTTTAACTTTTTTTTTCAGATTCTTGCAGACTACAAGACAATTCACTTAGCTGACAAGGCAAACCTTGAGTCTAAGTTTGGTGAGACTGTCGTGGACCTTCTGGACTATAACATGTTGTCTGATATTGAGTCAGATGAGGAGAAAAATAAAACTAGATATACTCCTAGAAATAGACATCCCTTGGTAAGGCTCTCATGATAAAAGTTATTTTTTTTAATACTTCTAACTCAAAAGTATTTATATTATAATGCAGGTGGATGAATACTTTACTGTTTTGAAGAAACAGAGACTTGCTAACAAGGGACCAGACGTCATTGGCAATTCTGTCTATCCAATTATTTTGAGAAACACCGAGTTATCGAATGAGAAAAAGGCACGTGTTGCTGCTTGAATTCACACACGCCAACAATAAATCGTTATTTTGTTTACAAAGTGAATATAGTTCTTTAATGATTTTTATTGATTGTGTTGAATGATGTGGGGTGAAGTGGTAAAATATAATCAGGCGATATTGTCAAGATGAGAAGCAATTAATATATAAATAAAAGGAAAAAGAAAAAGACAAAATCAAAAATCAAAATAATAAATTATTATTTTATTTTATTTTATTTTAAAGCCAATTAATAAAAAAAATATATATACAAAGCAATTATTTAATTATATAACCCTGATTGTTTTATCCTCGTTTTTTTTTATTGGAAATTATAATACCAATATTAGCAAGAATATGTAATAAAGGCTAAGAAAATGGTAAATGTCGGATATTAAATATACAAGTTTTTTTGTCTTTTATATTATTGATAAAAGCAAGAGAAATAAATAATGGTTTTTACTATTCATTAATAGTTAAAAAAAAACTGGTAATATAATTTACTATTGCTCTTTTAAATACTTAATAAAGAAGTATTGTTAAAACTAAATAAGAATACAGAGATAAATAAAGCTAAACCTTTTTACAGTCAAAAAAACTCGTATTATAATTATTTATACTGGTAACCTAAATAGTTGTTATTTTTTTTTGTTTTTTATGTGACTACTTTTCTAGGCAGTGAAACAACCAGGTGCTTTTGCGTCCCACTCTGCATTTTATGCGTAGTCAACGCAAAGCACGAATGCAGACGATGCACTGGAACAATGCACAAAGCATCTTCTTCCATAAATCCCTTGTCCCACAACTGCAGACCTTGATCAGCTAATGGCTGATGACTACTTGAATGGTAGGCGGGAAACCATTTAATGAATGCAAACATTGACACTCTTTTGACTCCACCGATCTTGATGGTATGAGTAAATAAATACTCTATTTGACCAGGGAATTCAGATACATCGTCATTTGTTCTCTCAAGAAACAATACCCTCACAAAAGACCCGCGCTTCTTCTTTTTACCACTGCAGTACTCTTGCCCCAGCAACGAAATCTTCTTCACCTTTTGAATCCGATTGTTCACAAATACATCCTCACCAATTGGGATTCTCCCTACCGCACAGAAGGAAACACTTGTACTCTGGTAAGCCTTGACATAGAATTCAAATAACCACTGATAGTGATCATCCTTCATCATAGTCAAAGGCTGCAACTTGATTGGCAATGTTGTCGGGGGCAAGGCCTCACTTCCGGTGACATTGTACCATGGATTGGTAGCAGCTTGCTGGAACATTGCTAAGCTAAATGGCAACGCAGGAGGGTGGCCAGCATCCAAATTCAAGGGAGAAGAGCTGTCGGAATTTGATTTTACTTGGGCAACCCCCTCAAGGAACTCTATCAGTGGTGATGAAAGATTGGTAGAATACGCTCGAAGAAAGCTACCAATGAATGCTTTCTCCAGGAAGACTCTTATGAAGGTGACCTCAAGACCATTGCGATGGTTCGTCTTGATGTTCTTCAACTTGCCGTTGTATCTCTCGAAGCTATACAGCCAGAATGTGTATACCGGACCAAAGTTAAGCATTGACTCATGCAAGTGCATATGCAAGTGCATATTTGGCATGATGCTGCTCTCTCCATAAAGAGTCTCACACTCTTTTCCGAATTCTCCAAGGAGCTGGTGTGCGCTGTCAATTTCTGAATATGTGACTGAAGGACTGGTCAACTTTCGGCATGCTTTTACAAAGAGAGTCCAGTTTTTGTAGTCGTCTTCAGGTAAAGCGTCTTTTAGTACCACCAACAAATAAATCAGACACCACGATTGCCACTTGTCTGCCTTCATATACGGGAAACCAGATTCGATCTTTGTTGATAAAACGGCATACCCAGGAGGAACAAGAATACCATCGGCAAGACGTTGCATACGGACGAGAACAGCAGTTGGGAGATACCTCAGGTCTTTCCAAACACTGATCATACGCTTTGCTGTCCCAAGAAACAAATTGTGCATGGGATCAACAATCGTGCATCGGACGGGATCAAAGTAGTGTAGGCGATGCAACTCGGAAAAACGGGTGCCATGCTGCTTCTCCAAAACAGCTCTCTCTGCATCAGATTCTGCGCAGAACCACATCTCAGCTTCAGTTGCATTTTCCTCTTTTGTTCGGGAGACCCAGTTCTCATGATCGAATCCAGAATAATTGATCTTACTTGTTCCAGCAACAACAGTGAAATGATGCTTGCATATGTGACAGGCGTTTGTACTTGCAAATCCTGTAAATCCAGCAGTCTTTCTTGCAGCAGGTATGTCGCAAGCAACACACATAAGAGCAGCGCGGATACTAGTACCATTGGGGAACTCTGGAGTTTTCATAGTTATGCTGTCGTATAACTCTACCAGCTTGTCTACCAGAGGTTCCAAGAAGTTGTTCATCTGGTCGATCTTCGCTTCCTTTGGACCAGGCATGACACCGACAAGGATAATGTTTTCCGGCTTCATTCTTTCTTCCCTAGGCAGGTTGTTCATTGACAGGTACAAGGCCCCACTTGCATGTGTACGACCCTCGAATGGTTAAAACCAATCCACATTCAATGTCAACATCAAAGAATGGTCGTGATTCACAAAAGGCTCGTCATCTTCATCAAGGAGCTCAGACCACATTGCACCATCATAGACGTCCAACAAGGTACTGTTTACGGTTTCCCTCGATCTCCATTGAACGATTTGATGCTCGAACCCAGGTTTGGCAAAATGCTGTGCCAATGCATTCTTGAGCGAGTTGTATGGGAAAACCATGAGAGGGACAGCGCGATCAGCTTCGGTGTCAGAGAAAAGAGGATTTCCGCAGTATGTTGGTGGTGTGGTTGTGTATTTTTCGAATGTGCAATTTGGTTGGCGATTGCCTGGTAGGTAAATTGCAAAGCACTTGTTGCAGACGGTGTATTTGACAATGCTTTTTGTCATGAAATTGAAGCCGGTCATAGTCTTTAATGCATCAATGGTGAGTGGGAGATTGGTATCCTTATCAAAGGCAACAAGAAGATGGCGGAAGAATTTCAACATAGCAGTTCCACCTGCTTGAACCAAGTAAAACGCCTGAAAGATAACGTTAAATAGAGTCATGAATTGGCTTGTTTGAGACATTTCATGAATTTTCAAAGAAGCAACTACAAAGGCAAGTATTTCTGTTAATTATTTGTAACACAATTTATGTATATTTCTTTTTTAAATGTATGCATACCGGAAGCAACCATGTCTTCAAAATCTTCAACACCGGCAACCTCAACTTCGCTCTCATCTTCAGACTCATCGCTTGAATCAGGCACTGCAAAAACAGATCAATTTCGCATATGTAAAGTATACCTAAGTTCTGATAGACAGAATAGGTAAAATTGTAGTTCAGCTCACTTTTGTGAGTAAAGTATTTGAATAGTATTTTAAGCTACTCTATTGGCTACTGGCAGCTGTGTAGCATTAGAATGCAACATCAAACTCAAATAAAATAAAAGTGTGTTTTCTTTGAAGTCTCTTTCTTTACTATTAAATACTATTGTAAACCTTTCTTTTCATTTTAAAATGGCTCCTATTCGCAAACCAACTGTTAGAAAAGAGTGTCGATGCTCTATCTGTAAAAGCAAGACACTAGGATTCGATTGTGTATCTGTTAAAACATTTAAACGTCATCAAGAAAAAGATAATCATGATATTACACATGTTCAAACGCGTACAGTTAATACATTTGCTTTACTTTACTTTATTTTATTTTATTTTATATCATTTCCTTTTTTATTATTTTATATAATAATAATAATAATAATAATAATAATAATAATAATAATACTAACACTAATAATAATAAATGTGTAGCCCATGAAGACACATGCGATACAATTAGTAGTGCTGTTTCTGAGCCTGTAAATCAAGAGGAAGATGGTTTTGAATTTGAACAGGAAGATGTTGAAATGAATTCTGAGCTTAGAAGTAAGAAAACTTATTTTATTACATTGATTTATTTGGGTCTAACATTCCGCTTTTGTAGACCTAAATGACACAAATGACATTTTGGATATACGGACAAGAAACCAACCTTTCTCTGAAACGGATTGCGTGTTTGGCCCTGAAGATAATGTCCAGTATACAAGTGACACTTACAAAGAAGAATATGAAGATGAATCCGATGTTGAGATGGACAATGATGAAGGTAGGTACACAGCTTTAGATAATATTATATCCTAGAAAATAGAGAGTTAATCAACGTTCTTTAAAAAAAATCAAATTAAAGATTCTTCATTGGAATCAATCTCGGAATTGAATTTGATTCACCAATTCATTGTTATTTCGGTTGCTCTTTTTGTCTCGCTATACGTTGTGGATGAAGGAGCTGTAATCCTGATTGCCATAATCAACAAGATACTGCAGTTTTTGTTTGACCCATTCCGCCTTCCAGTGAGTGTTGCTGGCCTCAAACGTTTGGCCGGATTTGAAGCGTTGACAAGTGGTGTCAAGAAGTATGTTGCATGTAGCGAATGCCATGCCATATATGATAATGAAGCCGCCCCTTTGTGTTGTACATCACCCAATTTTGGTAAAACCTCCTTGTGTGGCAACAGCTTGTTTAAGTCTGGTCCCGGGTCAAAAGCACCCAAAAAGACATATGTATTCCACTCTGTCAAGAAAGCCCTAAAGACGTTTTTTCAACGCCCGGATTTTGAAAACAACATCAACTCATGGAACCGCGGCCCGAAAATGGATAGCACTTTATTTGACGTGTACGATGGTGCGATGTGGAATGAGATAGTAGACATAGATGGTATACCTTTTGTTGACACCGAGCAATCACTCATGCTCACGCTGAACATTGACTGGTTTCAGCCATTCGATGGTGTTACCTACTCCTGTGGTGCCATATATCTTGCAATCAATAATCTTCCACGCAGTGAGCGGTTCAAGAAGGAGAACGTGATTCTTGTTGGGTTAATGCCAGGGCCTAAAGAAGCAAGCACTTCTGACATAAATAACTATCTGAAACCGCTTGTGGATGAGTTGATGGAGCTGTACAAAGGTATTAAGATTAAGACTCACCAATGTCCAAATGGTACTTCTATCCGAGCAGCCCTTCTCATGGTTGCCTGTGATATACCTGCTGCAAGGAAAGTATGTGGGTTCACATCCCATACAAGTACAAATGCATGCCACAAGTGTAAGCGTCAATTTTCGAGGTTGGCTGGAACGAGTTCCGTTGATTATTCTGGATTTGATTTCTCAAAGTGGCTCCTTCGCACTAAGAATGACAATTGTAAGGATGCAGAGATCTGGAGAAATGCAACCAAACCGACTGAGAGACAGCGTCTTGAAGTTGCACATGGTGTTCGCTGGTCCGAACTGCATCGTCTTCAGTACTTTGACATTGTCCGCTGCACGATCATCGATCCCATGCACAATCTTTTCTTAGGCACTGCCAAAAGAATGCTGGAGAGATGGGTTGCGGATGGATTAATCGATGATAAAAAACTCGTTGCCATGCAAAAGGCTGTTGAGAAGGTAGTGTTGCCGCCCGATTACACGTCACTTGGGACAAAGATTGCCAAGGGATTTCCCTATATGAAGGCTGATGAGTGGAAGTCTTGGTGCCTTGTGTACTCTCCTGTGGTTCTAAGGGATGTGTTGCCGTTGCCAGAGTTCAAGAACTGGATAGAGTTTGTTAACGCATGCAGATACTTCACCAAGCCTAGTGTTTCTGAAGAAGACATTGAGAAAGGACACAAATGCTTAGAAGAATTCTGTAAAGGGTGTGAGACATTGTACGACCTGGACCTTCTCTCTCCCAACATGCACCTGCATCTGCACTTACGCCAAACAATGATTGACTTTGGGCCCGTCTATGGCTATTGGCTTTTCAGCTTTGAAAGGTACAATAGTGTTCTGAAAAATATCAAGACCAATCGAAGAAACGGGTTCGAATCGACATTTATGAGACAGTTTATTGAAGAGTCGTGGAAGGGAGATTTTGTGCGTCGACTTCTGAAACCTATGCATGCACTTGCATGTTTTGAAATTTTCGATAAGTTCACCACCAACAACAACAACACCAACACCAACACTAACACCAACACCAACACCAACACCTACCTCTCTCACTCTTTCTCAATTTCCGAATATCTTGAAGCTTCACAGAATCTTTCAATGATAATTCGTGGAAACGAGCCCCTGCCACCATCCGCCTTGCCATTGAAAACAAGACCATTATCATTTATGCCAAAACATGAATATGATTGTCTTGTAGGATACTATCAAGCTGCGTACAAGAATCCACAGATCTCAGGTTGCAAAGATGTAATTGATGACTCACCTTTCGTCAATGACTGGATCGAAATGGTGAAGTCCGTTGATCTTCTTGGGCAAAGCTACAAAGGGTGCATTGGCACGAATGGCCGCGGATCATACATACAAGCATATTTTACTGAACGAACTGGGTCGGAACATGCGTATGTTGGAGAGATTCAGTACCTTTTTGTTCACAATTTTAGGCCAACTGTTTCTTCTCTAACATACAGAAATCCCCATAGTAGTCAGCATGTATTTGCATTTGTCAAATGGTTCAAATCCACTTTGGACAAAACAAGAGAATTAGAAGGAGTTGAGTTGTTACAGGATGAATTCTACAAGCAAGATTTTCAAAGCATCCTGCCAGTACATCGGATTCTCCTAACAGTTGCAATAGTAGATTACAAAACTACAAAAAATGTCAACAAAAAACTCGCGATTCCTTTACCAAAAAAAATTTACTATTAATTCTCATACACACACTTACTTATATATTTATCCTCTATTATTATTTCCTTTAATCAATTCAATTTCAATTATTACTATTTGGCCCTACAACAGAACATAGTAAAAAAGAAAATGTTTATTCATCGTTGATTGCCCAACGAGGCAATGACTGGGACAGAGTGGCAGGAACAGAGCAAGGCAACAATGTTGCTGGATATCTGTTCATTCTTGGCTTTGTTCCCACGCCCGCATTTAACACGTGATGGGTACGATCAATGTCGTCAACCATTGTCAACAATCTGTTGAACTGTATTTATTTTTATTAGTTCTTTATTTTTCTTGTTATAAAACTTATTTATTTATTCTAAATATTATTTACCTCTTCACTTCTCCAAGTGGGGCGAGCCACATGCAAACACCGTCGTGGAAGATTGTCCACAATCTCAATATCCGACTCACCATCAGACATGGCATCCTTCTGAAAGAGTTTGAGATAGGCCTTCTCAACAGGGTTTCCAGTCTTATATCCCATTGCAGCATCAATGGCTACCCAGTTGTCCATGTATGTCGACTTGCGTCGGATAGACATCTGGTTATATAGATTGTAGCTTGAGAAAATAGTAATATACCAATTAATTTTTTATATAGTATATACAAACCTGAAGAGTACGACTGTTTGCTCTCCCCTTGCTGTTTTTCTTGGCCTTCTGCTCAGGAGACTCGTGAAAAGTACGATGACTGTGCTTGTACCTGTTCTTTATTTTATTACTTATCACCCATGGGTGAGTATCAGCTAGACGAGTCTGGGCGCTAATGTAGCTCTTCAAGTAGTTGATAACAGCTACGTTATCGCGGTGGTTAATCTTCTTGTTCAAGTTCCACTTCTTCTTACTCTCGTTCTCAGCAACAAGAGCAGGGTCGTCAGACTCAAACTTCCAGTCCCACAACTTTTCCGCGAAGATTTCCTAAATACAGGTTGTTTAATAAGTTGTTGATACTAACATATATTAATATTAATTACTGAGATAATGACAGAAACCTTGGCATCACTGAGGAAGGTCTGGGGGACATAGGATGGCATCAGAGATGGTCCTAGACTAGCCATACGAGTCTGATTGTTGGCATAGGCAGTTGCAAAGTCTGCAAATGCCGTATGTGTCTTTCCAGACGTGTCAACAACAACGCCCATCCTGTTTTTAAAGGCTGCCATGTTGCTATTGACAGCAGCAATGTCATCCTTGACACCGTTGATATTGTTGTTTACTTTGTTAAACATTTCAACAATTTTCACGTATCGCTGATCTTGGATAGTTGCGGATGAGAAACTGGGGGTCAATTTCTCGAGGTCCAACACGGCCAGCCAAAACACGGTTTGCAGAGGTAGATATACTTGCAGATGCTTTTCCTTTTCCTTTACGGTCTGTTTTTCTGCTGCTATTGGAAGGCATTTTTTCTTTATTGTATTTTTATTAAAGTTTTATACATTAATAAATTATTAAAATAAAATAAATGTATGGGTTGAAATATATTTATTTTTGTTTAATCAAAGATATACATACAAAATAAGTTAATATAAAGTAGATTTATGAAATAGCTGAGAAAAGGAAGGGATTATATATTATTTTCTATAAAATCCTTTATAACCTTGAACAACTTCTTTAATATTCAACATAGAACTTAGTGTTACAATATAATTTCGGACTATTCATTTTATTACTATTGTATTTTACTAGAGTCAATTCTCATCTAAACTGCCTTCTGTTTGAAAGCCCACTTTTTTTTCTTCTTTTTCTTTATTTTTTTCTTATTTCTTTTTTTCCTGTTTCTTTTCCGCTTTATTTACTTTTATTCTTATTGATGTATTTGAGTTCACACCCTGGTAAGCAATTTGTTTTTATTATTCTACTGTTATATTTATTCTTAATGTTTTTTCTTTTATTATTATTGTGGTTGCTGATAGTATTACAAGTCTTTGCCATGTTGATTAATGGACAAGAATAAAAAGGTAAAACGCGGTTATTGTGTATGTGCTTCTTTATTAATTATTTTCTTTTTCTCTCCTCAGCTCATCATAAAGACATACCAACAGCAGAAATTTATCCAGTAAGTCTGAATAATGTATTTATTTGTTTTATTCTTATATCTAATTTTGTTTATTTTCTATCTCTGTTAGTACTGCCAACATTTCTATGTACCTGATTGAATGACTTGTCTTTGAAAACCGATTTTCTTTGGTAAGTAATAAAGCCAAACTTTATTCCATGATCTTTACTAATGCATTTTATTAAACCTTTCAGAACAACAGTCAATGTGCACTATGTCTGGTTCTGACAAAAGTACTGGTAAGTAACCATACTATTTAAATTAAAGAAAAATAAATATTTATATAATCTAATATAATTGAATAATTTTTTAGCCTTCTCTTACTAGTGAAATACCGTAAACACGCGTTTCTTTTTAGGATTCTATCGTATTGGAAGTATTTATATATTATAATATATGAAAGGGTTTGTTATTATATTAATTATATAGTAGCCTATATATTAGATTAGACTATATACTGTCAAGTCGTACATATTATAAGCAAGAAGCTTTTTTTAAAATAAAAACAATTTTTCCAAAACAATCCCTATAAAAATATTTGAAATGAAGTGCAAGAAGTATTGCAGTAGTATGGCATGTGTGAATCCTATAGTTTAGCCGTGCATAATTGTCCAATAAAAGTGTTTAGATTCGGAAGACAGTATACATAAATCCTGTTTCTTCTGTTAAATGATCCAATAGAATATCATTATTTCAGTAGACAGTTTTCTATCAAAAATAGATTTTTTATTAGAATCTCTGTTTCAAATCAAGTTTAATTTAATGTAACATCCAAAAAAAAAATGCCATAATTTGATTATTCTCTCTGCGATTAAATAGTTTAAAAGAACCTTACATCTCTATATGGATCATTATAAGTTCAGAAGTTATATGGACAACTCACAGGTAACATAACATATTGCGAACAGAATCTATAAATGCCAAATTCCAGAATTTAATTATTCTGTCACTCAGAATTTCCCATACTATCGCATATGTGTAGAAATCTAATTCCCCAGTGAGGATCGTCATTGTCAGAAGCCAATGATGTTGTCTCGACATCAGACTCTTCGAATTAAAAAATCTCGTCTTCTCTCAAAAAAGGTACACTCTGTAAGGTAGTTTCGGCTGATACAATAGAATAATTGTCTTCATCTATAGTAAAACCAGACTATTAGCTATCTAAATTATGATTTATTAAAAAGAAATTTTATACTCACAATCAATTGATGTTTCAGATACATCTACCATTTCAACGTCTGTCTCTTCTTCAACAACTTCTGTATTAACTGATAATTAACAGAAAAAAATATTAGATTACAATTTATCCAGTAATGCGCGTACTACTCAAATGTCATTTACCTCGATTTTTTGGGCCAATGTCTAATAACTTATCAGCATTATTATGACGCTTAAAGGTCTGTGCATTTTGCAAAATTCCGCCAATTGCATTTTTGGTACATGATGAACATGTACACATAACAGTGTAGGTTTTAGTTGTAGAATTCATAACAGTAAGAATAATATTAATAATAATAAAATAATAAAGAGGTGTATACTATATTTTATTTTCATCTTTTATATGTCTCTTATTTTTGTCATTAATAATGAGTTGATATATCTTGTTCACTATGTCATTGACTACATTGAGCTTACCGTCCCTATTAGTAAGAATTACAAATGGATTTTCATACAGCGATCTTTTCTTAAAAAAAGTGTGCCTGATTATTAATGGGGCTTCAATTTAATAATCACTGATATAATGGCGTAGTTTTTCTCTTTTGCGTTTTTTTAACATGACATCAATTCTCGCTCATTTTGGCAAGTGGCCTTTTTTGGATTTTCTTTTTCTTGTATTTTTTATGACATCAATTCTTGCTCTTTTTTTCAATTTTTTTGATATACTTTCTTATTAAAAATAAGTCATATATCATATATTATTATATTCTAATAAAAATCGGTATTTTTTGCGATGCAATAAAAATATTATTGAGTCTAAATTAGGTGCATCTGTAACAACAAGTTTTTCCTTCCAGAAAAATAATTAAATACTACATTTAACATTTAATATTTTATTTATATTTTTTATTTTTCTGCCAAGTCAATCGAAACATATATTTTTTAAGACAATTGTGCGATTTATTGCCTAATTAATAAATATTTGTGTTTGTATCTGTGTTTATTTAATATAATCAGAAAAAATTGTGAATTCCCATCTCAAGAAAAAAATATATTGAAAAACGATGGTGTTTGAAATATTTTTCCAAATTTTGCCAAAATTCAAAAAATAAAATTCGACCAAATCCACCCTCCTTTTGCAGTGATATGAGATTAACTGTTATCCACTTATATATATATATCAGATTGGCTGTAATCCACTTATATATATATCAGCTTGGCTGTGATCTACTTATATATATATTAGACTGCATATCATATGTTTATATATAGTGCAAATCACCTGTCATCAACTTATATATATACACAATTGGCAGTCAACAGCTTATATATATACTAGATCGACTATCATCAGCTTATATATATATCAGATTGACTGTGATCCACTTATATATATATCAGATTGGATATCATATGTTTATATATAGTGTACATCCTATGTCATCAGCTTATATATATACCCAATTGGCAGTCAACAGCTTATATATATACCCGATTGACTATCATCAGCTTATATATATATCAGATTGACTGTGATCTACTTATATATGTATGAGATAGACTGTCAATAGCTTATATACGTATAAGATTGGCTGTTATATCTTATATATATATATCAGATTAGCAGTCAACAGCTTATATATATGCCAGATTGGCAGTCAACAGCTTATATATATACTAGATTAGCTAATATCAGCTTATATATGTATGAGATAGACTGTTAATAGTTTACATATATATAGCTGATTGGCAGTCAACAATTTATATATATACCATATCAGCTATCATCAGCTTATATATATATCAGATTGAGTATCATATGTTTATATATAGTGTGGATCACCTGTTATCAGCTTATATATATACCTAATTGGCAGTTAACAGCTTATATATATATCAGATCGACTATCATCAGCTTATATAAATATATCAGATTGATAATCATCTGCTTATATATATATATGAGATTGGCGATCATCTGCTTATATATATATGAGATCGGCAATCATCTGCTTATATATGTATGAGATCGGCAATTATCTGCTTATATATATATGAGATTGGTAACTATTGACTTATATATATATAAAATCAGCAATTATTGGCTTATATATATACCAGATTGGCAATTATCTACTTATATATATATGAGATCAGTGATCATCTGCTTATATATATACCAGATTGGCAACTATTGACTTATATATACACTAGATTGATGATCATTAATTATATATATATGAGATCGATGATCATCTGCTTATATATATATGAAATTAACAATTATTGGCTTATATATATACCAGATTAGCGATTATCTACTTATATATATATGAGATCAGTGATCATTGACTTATATATATATCAGATCAGTGACTATTGACTTATATATATATCAGATTGATAATTATTAGCTTATATATATATGAAATCGGTTGTCATCTACTTATATATGTATGAGATCGGCGATCATCTACTTATATATATATTAGATTGGCGATCATTGGCTTATATATATAAGATTGGCAATTATTGGCTTATATATATATCAGATCGGCAATTATTGGTTTATATATGTATAAGATTGACTAATATTCACTTATATATATATCAGATCAGCTGTTATCAGCTTACATAATCTTGCATAATTTTGCATAATCTTGTATAATCTTGCATAATTTTACATAATTTTGCATAATTTTGCATAATCTTGCATAATCTTGCATAGTTGTATAGAAACACATATAAAAGATATAACAAAAGAAAGTTTGTATAACATATGTCATTATGCATATTTGCATAACATAAATAATACAAATGTATTACTGAAAAAAATTAGTAAATTATGGCTATACTTGTTATATAACATGCATAATCATGCATAATCTTGCATAAATGATCTACGTAAACAATACAGCTGAATTCGTGAGAAAAAATGCTAAAGAATAGCTTTTTTCCAGAAAAATTTCCTTTTTTAGTTAGTCTGAATATAATTAGCGTGAGAAATCTTGGCATTTTTAGTGTGGGAAGATAGGTTATATAAATAGTAACTATGTAAAAGCTTGGCATGGAAAAACATTTAATCTTAAACTATCAAAAAGCCGTTCCGACAATAATTAAATATATCTCTTCTAATGAAAGTTCAAATTCTTACTAAGTAATAATTTTTTAATTTTTTTTGCTATATAAAGAAAATTTAGTAGTATAATATAAAAGTATCAAAATATGTAAAGAGCAAATACAGAATTAATAAAAATTAATTTTCATATTTTTTTACTAATTTTCTTATAAAAATCAAAATATTATTATGTAGATCAATAAAAAAATATATAAATAAGTCAACTTATTAATATTTATTATAATTTTGATGTATTTATATATTATACATATAAATATAAAGATTATAAAAGAGTTGTGAATATATATAAAATTAAAGATTAAATATGATTAGAGTATATAACTTGTATTTAAGGAGATGATCAGATATAACTTGAATATTAATAAATGTGAATATATATAATGAGATAGATAAGATGTTATAGACTAATATTGATTATTTATTATATTTTATTAACTTATATAAGTAGTAAATTGGATGTGATAAATTTATATATAGTACAAATTGACTCTTATTAATCTACATACATATCAGATTTATTATTATCAGTCTATATATATATATATCAGATCTGTGATATTTGAGATATGAAACAATAGAAAAATAAAATATTTGATAATAGAGATGTATAAAAATACTTTGAGACTGTATATAAGTTATCTTTATTCATAAATAAAAAAGTGTCCCTTTTTATGAAAAAACATAATCTGCTCTTGTCATTATGTCTTAGTTTCTTAAGGCTTTCTTCCTTTACTATATTTGGTTATTAGAGTGTATTTACTAATTAACTAGTGTCGATGTTACAATTATGACATCAAGTCATAAATTGTATTTCTTTAGCTCTTAGCTATTCTTTTCTCTTTTATACTAGAGCTTTAGGACTTCTTACTAAATTAGTTTCATATTGATCTGACACAGTTTATCAGGTAGTATGATATAATTATCTTAACAATCTTTAAGATATTATCTACAGTACTAACTATAATAATTATTGGGCTGATTACTTAATCGTTTATATATATTTTATACTGAAAAGATGATAGCTACTATGCTATCCCAATATGAATATATTCTTATATGTGATAAATCCAACATCCAAGTGTCTGGATCACTACAAGATCTACTATTATTGTTTTATATATATATGAAAGTAATTATTATTAGTCTATATATATCAGATCTATTGTTATTGATCTTTATATATATTATATCAACTATTATTTATTTATATAGTGCCAACTAGATATTAATAGCTTATATATATAGTATATCAGTTATCAATAGCTTATATATATAGTATATTTACTGTTGTCAGATTATATATGTATGAGATTGACTTTTATCCACTTATATATATATATGAGATTGGGTGTGCTCCACTTATATATATCAGATTGGCTGTGCTTCACTTATATATATATTAGATTGGCTGTGATCTACTTATTCATATATCAGATAAACTATTACCCACTTATATATATACCAGATGGACTGTTATCTACTTATACATATTTTAGATTGACTCTGATTAGATTATATATATACTAGATTGACTGTCATTTACTTATATATTTACTAGATTAGCTGTAATTCACTTATATATATACAAGATCAGCTATTATCAGTTTATGTATATATCAGATTGGCTGTTGTTCACTTATATATATATCAGAATGGCTGTTATCAGCTTATATATATATAAGATTGGCTGTTATCTACTTATATATATATCAGATTGGCTGTTATCTACTTATACATATATCAGATTGGCTGTCATCCACTTATATATATATATCAGATTATACTGCAAAAATCATTGGGAATTATTATAATAATAGGTCTTGATTATTGGGATATTTTGTCATATAAAAACGAATTACTCGTAAATATTAAGGAAATCATAATTGACAAGTTGTTGAATAAAATGTCAAATATAATTGAATATTATGTTATTCCAAAAATAAAAACCGAGAGTTTAGGTATAATGTCTGTGTATCAACTGTTCTCAGAGATCAATTATATAGACTATTCCAAATACAGAACAATATATTATCTACTACTGATTACATCTGTAATTTGATGTAGGCCTTGTTTTTGTAACAACAGGCATAATAACAGTGTACTTCTTTAATGTTTACTGGCTAAATGAATCGAAGAAAAATTCTCATAGCTGCAAATGCTAAGCACGAGTCTCTCAATTGGATATTGTTTTG